GAGGAACCAAGAGGTTGGCCAGATGAATCAACCTTGTGCATCATCTACAGTTCTTGGAAGGTATAAAGTCGACACCTTGCTCCTTCTTGCATTAGATCCCTTTTTAGGGAGATTTAGGGCTTTTATAAGCCATTCTTGGTGACCAACCATGATTGAAAGCATGGTTGGGGGTTGAGGCTTCAGATCCAGGCTCCTTAAGGAGTTAGAAGGCAGAAAGGGACTGCCTTTGCACCCAAGGAAAGCCCCATGCAACTCAAGAGCTTCTTTTAGGTTCTTTTTAGCTCATAGTCCCATGCATGCACGTAAAGTTCGTAACTTTACGTGCTAGATCGATCTTAGGATCCTAGATCTATCATTTGGACAAGTGTTGTACATCAGAGATCGAGAAATGAGACTTGGACAACCTCGACTCGGCGAGTCGTTCTTGGGACTCGGCGAGTCCGAGGCTTGACTCCCTTTCTGTTAAGGTTCAAAGAAACCCGGTTGAGTGTTAGAAGGGTTTTAGAGGGTCCAAGGGAGTGGCCCAACGTGTTGGACTTAACCATAGACCTGGAGTTCATAGGACTCGACGAGTGCATGAGCAGACTCGGCGAGTCCAAGGCAATCTCCCAACGTTCGAAGATGAACTCGACGAGTTGTTCATACAACTCGGCGAGTCAAGGGCAGACTTGTTCATAGGATGGGGATGAACTCGACGAGTTGTTCATACAACTCGGTGAGCCGGATGAAGGTTCATTCGAGGATGTTTTAGAAGGAGAACTCGTCGAGTCGTTGCTAAACTCGACGAGTAGAGGCTTGAGGAGGGACAAATGAAAGGAGTTAGAAGGCAAAAAGGGACTGCCTTTGCACCCAAGGAAAGCCCCATGCAACTCAAGAGCTTCTTTTAGGTTCTTTTTAGCTCATAGTCCCATGCATGCACGTAAAGTTCGTAACTTTACGTGCTAGATCGATCTTAGGATCCTAGATCTATCATTTGGACAAGTGTTGTACATCAGAGATCGAGAAATGAGACTTGGACAACCTCGACTCGGCGAGTCGTTCTTGGGACTCGACGAGTCCGAGGCTTGACTCCCTTTCTGTTAAGGTTCAAAGAAACCCGGTTGAGTGTTAGAAGGGTTTTAGAGGGTCCAAGGGAGTGGCCCAACGTGTTGGACTTAACCATAGACCTGGAGTTCATAGGACTCGACGAGTGCATGAGCAGACTCGGCGTGTCCAAGGCAATCTCCCAACGTTCGAAGATGAACTCGACGAGTTGTTTATACAACTCGGCGAGTCAAGGGCAGACTTGTTCATAGGATGGGGATGAACTCGACGAGTTGTTCATACAACTCGGCGAGCCGGATGAAGGTTCATTCGAGGATGTTTTAGAAGGAGAACTCGTCGAGTCGTTGCTAAACTCGACGAGTAGAGGCTTGAGGAAGGACAAATGAAAGGATAGGGACTCGACGAGTTGGCGGCCCAACTCGACGAGTCAGGTCAACTGGAGGTTGACTTTGTCTTTGAATTGGTCAGGGGTAAAAGAGTCATTTTACCCTAAGAGTAGTTATCAGTGTCTGATTAAGTGTTTTATGGATTTATAGCCGGAGGATCACCGGGGCAGCAGTCAGACACCTACCAATCAGCTTTTCAGCAGTCAGCCTTACAAGGTGAGTTACCTTCCAGTAGCGGCGGGTCTAAGGCACCAATGCCGGCCCACCAGTAGGAGTCGTATGTTAGATGACTGTCTTTGTGATATTCATCTAGGTTTGCTACTACCTGATATGTTATGTGCTAGTATGATATGATGTTATATGCTAGTAGCAGTAGGGGGAGACAGTCCCCCAGATTCCCGGTCGATAGGGCCAAAGGGGTAGTCATACCCAGTCATGCTAGATAGAATACGATTATGTGTTACATGTTATGTGGTAGTAGTAGAGGGGTGAAATAGTCCCCAGTATCCGATCGAGAGGACCGAAGGGGAGGCCAGCACCCAGATATGCTAGGCAGTATCCGGTCGAGAGGACCGAAGCGGAGGCCGGCACCTAGATATGCTAGGCAGTATCCAGTCGAGAGGACCGAAGGGGTAGGTCGGGCACCCATATATGCCTGATAGTATATGCATGTTATGTGATTATATGGTATGTGGTACGATGGGGGAACTCACTAAGCTTCGTGCTTATAGTTTTCAGTTTTGTTTCAGGTACCTCTTCAGCGAAGGGGAAGGAGCCGGCGCGGTAGCTGCACATCATACACACATTGGATTCCGCCTTATGAGATTTCTTGGGATTGTACTCTAACATTGTTACTACTTTTATGATATGATTTTCAGACATGAGATTATGGTTTTATGAAATGATATGACATGGTGATGTTTTATGATAAATGCTTTTCTAAATCGTTATATCAAAAATTGAAATTTTTTAGACTCAGAATTTGGGATGTTACAGTATCAGCATAAAGCTGGTGAGTTCATAAGAGATGTTTTGTAATGAAAACCTATTGATGACTTTGTAAAAATGTTCGCATGTTTCCAAGAAAATCCAATATTTTCTTTAGTAAGAGTGAGATAATATCAGTTCTCTCTATAACCACTTAGTTCATGCTAGCCACGTATAAACCAATATCGAACAGATAGTTGACTATGTGAATCTGCCCTAAATCCACAACCAAACAAGGAACAGGAAATGAGGCGGAAACCACACATTCCACAGTCTATCGAAATGCTCCATACGTAACCCTGATGCCTAAACTAAGGAATTATAGAATTAACTATGAATGTTTGTTACTGTATTCGGTTGTAGTATAGAAAAACGTTAGTTTGTATGTCTAGTTACTATCAACCGTAGTATGTGTGTATTCTTGTACAAAAACCTTTGTATAGTATGTTCTGTATGAAAACCCTGGCTAATATCAGTATGTAAAAGTAGTTTCATTACTTTAAATAAAACCAATGAAGAATGAAATACTGTAAACATATGTTAGTTTATACTTATTGTGAGTCGTATAACCATGGTTGATATGACCTAGTGACCTTTACGACGTTCTTCAAGTGTCGGTTACATGACATTTGTCACCTCATGCATGCCTGCCTAACTGTAGCTAGCAGTTCAGGTGTGGGATTGTCAGTCCCGAATATATCTATTCACAAATCTCACGCTCTCCCTCCAGGAGGCTCTGGTTATACTATGATAGGATTTAATTCAGTACACCTAAGGGTACAGTTTTGAAGTAGAGTCTCACAATTTTGTATAATCTAGTTTACGTGTAATTCTGTAGTGTTCTCTTGTATTTGATCCCGTTGTATAAGGTATATGGTAATAATTATATTTAAATAATTATTAAATGATGTACTCTAGTAGTAATCTATATCATAAACTAAATCTTTCATAGTTTATTTGTTTACCCCTGTATGTAATCTAAATCGGTAAGAGCTATGTATTGAATTCCCCAAACTAAACCCATTTTAGTTTGCTTGAAATGTTATGTACTTGGTTTGTAAACTGTTCTGAAAACTATGAAATTGTGTTTCCAAAATAAAAGTGTCCCTTATGCTCAAGATAATACAAAAGGGATAAAATATCTAAATATTTTATAAAACGTGGAAATCGTTTGACTATATCAATTGTATAACTTTTAAACTTGTTAAAATCATTTATGTTTGGCTTGTATTCCCCCCCTGAAAACATTAAAAATCATAGAAAGCGTAGGGGTATGAACTCACTGTTAGTAGTGTGCAAACGTCGAATCAACGAATTGAAATGAAGACCCTCGAGTTGTAGCGTGTGGCACTTACCGAAATCCTAATAACAAAATTAAATACATTTATATATTTAAATTAGTGATTTCGCTAGATAAAGTGTAGAAAAACACTTGAGTTCGGTTAAAGAATGTTACCGGGACTTGATCGAATCGAGTAAAGTGGGTTTTCAGTCTAAATCACTGCTTAGGAAGTGTGTACGGCCGTGAACGGGGTTTACGGCCGTGAACAGGGTGTACGGCCGTGAACGCTGTACTGCCCTTGAAGGTGTACGACCTTTGAAGGTGTACGGTTGTAGACTGGTGTGCGGTCAATGAACTTGAAGGTGTACGGCCCTACACTCAAGAACAAAGATGCTGATTTCGACGAGAAACGTGCTCTAGATGCTCCGAAATGACCCCCAATGGTGATTCTTGATGTTTTCCGGAAGGATAAGGGTGTTTTTAGGGGTGTACGGTCGATAGTCTAGAGAGAGAAGGAGAGAGTGTCCGGCCAGAAGAGTGTAAATGAAGGGTAGGGTCTCATATTTTATAGGGGTTGTCGTTGGTCGGTGGTGGGGTCCACCCGGCGCCGACCGTAAACGAGTGTACGGCCGTACACGGGTGTATGGCCGTGAACTCAAGTCCGGCCGTGAACTCGGTCTTGTTCGAAGAAATTCCCGAAATTTCGTGTGGTTTTGGTTCCGACTCGAATATAGAACTTAAAATATATAGTTAAATGATTCTCCAAACCGAAGGAAGGTGACGGAACCCAATAAAATAAAATTTTATTAACGGGAATTAATTAACGGAAACTAGAAAAAGGTTCGGGTTGTCACATTTGTCATTGACACAATACGTCGTCGATGCACAAACGTCCAGATGTAATAAAAATGTTAGTGTTTTAATTGTAAGAAAAAATAATAGTATGTCAAAATCGAATTTTTATAAAATGTACTTAAGAATTATCACTATATTTCTATTAACTCATATTTTAGATCTAACAATTTATTTTTGTACGAATGAAATAAAGTCTTCAAGTATAATTCCAATAAGCGAAAAATTAATAACCATAAATATGATATTCAAAAGCCAAAAATTAATAACCATAAATATGATATTCAAAAGTGAACCGTTACACGTTTTTTTAATCTTGTAACTATTATAACGTTCAATTAAAATCCTTACCATATAGAAACATCACCACCCCTCCCCCCTCTATAAATTCCTTAGAAAGTTAGAATCCATCAAAACATACAAAAAGAAGAACTCACATTTGAAGAAAAATGGTTAGAAACATTATTTCATTGGCGTTGGTAGTGATTGTAGTGTTGACACTTCTGATATCAAAACAATGTGTGAATGCACAAACAAACTGTCAAGATGTAAACACAAAGTTAATCAATTGCGAGCCGTTCATGCTTGGGTACTTGTCCAAGCCTGCCCCACAATGTTGTGCTAGTGCACATGATTTGGTTCTAGCAGCCTATGCCTCCAGAGATACTCTTAGAGCTACTTGTTGGTGCCTTAAGACAGCGTTCCAGTCGTTCCAGGTTGACTTTTCCTATGCAGAACAAATCACGAAGTTTTGCAATCTCAAAGCCAATGTTCCCCTCTATCCATCAGTCAACTGTGACACGCTTTAGAGTATTTGGATTGGATTTTGGGGAAATAGGGATTAGTGACTTGTGAAGCATGATTTTATACTTCTTTTTATTAGGGTGAGCAGGGTTTGGTTTCGCTAGGTTTTTCCTAAACTGAAATTGAAATGAAAAAAATCGATTTTGTTTTGTTTTTTCGATTTCAGTATTTTGGTTTTTATGTTCATCCGATTTCTTTTCATTAAAAATAATAAAATCTAATACTTTGTTATGTTGAAGTCAAGATCTCATAAGCATCGTGACGTATTTGTTGTTATTGTTGGTATTAATAATGTGATAATATATGTATTAAAAATCGATCATAATTGATTAAATGGAAATTTTCTAAAAAGTTATCAGTTATTAATTGACTGGGAAATCTATAAAAAAAATCTTTATATTTTTGCTCTATTGATAAAAAAAGCCATCCTATTTTTTTTATTATGCAATTTAACAATTGAAACCGATAAACACTTGCAAAATAACCATTATAACTGGTTAGTGCCGGTTTTAAGGGTTAAATTGTAATAAATAAATAAATAAATAAATAATCATGACTTTTTCGTTAATAAAAATAAAGTTTAAGGAAAAACAAATCATAATTTGGTAGCGGATAAAGAATATCAAGTATTTAAAAGATATGATGTATTTTAAAGGCCAAGTCATTCCGGTTCTCGATTCAAATTGAGATTTACTTCAAAAATTATACAATTTCTTACAAGTTATTAAAGAAGCAACTAAATTACTATCGTGTGCATGGTACTATCCAACAAGTTTCTTAGTTTTAAATCAAAATTTATTGAATGCCAAAAATCTCAATACGAGATCTCAAATAATACTAGGTGCTTTGATATTTTTGCGGTTATGAAACTAAAAATTTTAAAATATTTTCAGATACTTTGACGTTTACTTGTATTGACGCTTTAATCTCATCGTAAATGTTGGGCCTGGGAACCTTAATTTTAGTTTTTGTTGTGAATTCAAATGTTGGTCAAACCGGACCAAGATTTGTTGAAACTTTAATATCTATTTTCAATGAAGTTTTTCAAAAGTTATCCCACCGTTATGCAACCAAATATGGTTAATCAAATAATCTAATAGTTGATCATATGATGAGAGAAATGATGGGGGAATCATCTAGAACTATATCAAGTGATCAGGATGCAAATCACCAACTTTATAAAATTCTAATGAAAGATGTCACTAAACGAAAATGAACTTTGGCATCAAAGAACGAAATGACCAATTATATGGCATCAAACTTTTTAGCTTGTCATGGAACTACAAACCTTGCTACTTTGGCTTGGTGGAAAAAATGAATCATAATTTCCAATTTTAGTTGTCATGGTTGGTAATTTACTAAATGTACAAGCTTCTATTGTAGCTTTGGAATTTGTTTTTTTCTTATTGGCAGGGTAATATCGGATCATAGTTTATGACCCACCATTGAATCAGTAGAAGTATGTGTTTGTTTGAATGATTACTTGGACAACGACGTTAAAAGAATACAAAATTATGTTTCACTTAAAAAACAGTTTTAACTTCCATCATAAAGTACATCCATAAAGAAAATACATCCATTCAGAAAAGGTTGTACAAAGATATCAACTTCAATGACAGAAGTATATGAAGATGATATTGAGGAAGACATAATTCTAAAGTTTTTGGATTAGGATAAACTTTGATTTCATGAACACGACTAATTTTCGGACCAAAATAACAATAATTTTTAATTTCTACAAGTATTTATTTAATTGGCGTTAAATTTATATTTTAAAATTAAAAAAAAATTGGATAAATAAAGGATTATCCGAAAATGGATGGTTAATCACTCTTATATAAGTTTAACTAATTCTATATAACTTTTCTATTTGAGTGCCAAGCATTTAAAAATTATAACTACATTTTTATTAAATCTTATTTTAGATCAAACGTTTTTGTTTTTGTGTGAAGGAAACAAAATCTTCAAAGATAATCCCATTTTAAAAAAAGTAACTATTTCAAAATTGTTATTTACTTTAAAGATTACGGTCGACACCAATATGCAAAAAGTATTAATAATCATAAATATGATATTCAAAAGTTAACCGTTACAATTTTTGTACATCTTGTAAATATTATAGCTTTTATTTATTTTGATTCCTTACCATATATAAACTTAACCCCCCTATAAATTCCTTACAATCCATCAAAATTCAAAACATCCACAAAAAAACAAACTCCCACTTCTAAAGACAAATGGCTAAACACATGATTTGGTTCGCATTATCATTGATGATTTCAGTATCAACAGTTCTGTTATCAAAACAAGGCGTCAATGCACAAACAAACTGTCAAGATGTAATCACAAAGTTGATCACTTGTGAGTCGTTCATTTTTGGATACTCTGATGAGCCTAGCCCACAATGTTGTTCTAGTGCACAAGATTTGGTTCGAGCTGCAAATGCTTCAAGAGATGTTCTTAGGGTTACTTGTCGGTGCCTTAAGACTGCGGTCCAATCGTTCCCAGTTGACTTTTCTAATGCAGCCCGGATCACCTCCTTGTGCCACCTCAACCTCAGTATCCCAATCGATCCTTCTGTCAACTGCGATTCGTTATGAAGTATTTGAATTTGATTTTTTGGTTCACTGACTCTTGTGTTTTTTTTTTTTTTTGGTAGTGAATTGAATAATATATGTTTTGTTTACAACAAATAAGATGAAATACAATGTTTTGAAAAGTGAAATGAGTCGTAAATTTACATACAACCAACGGTATATGAAATGAAATTTACATTGACAAAAGCAAGTATATAAGCAAATACAAGAAGTATACAAAAAAGCCTCACAAACAAACAAAGAAATCTCGATCAAACAATGCAGAATCAAATCCCCAGATAGGGCAATTGGCAATAACGCCACATAGCCTGCCAAATGACATTATTTCATGGGATGGGATCTTGATAACCAATGATAGGATGCCAGCACATCAATCTCTATCAAACACACATGATATCGATACGAAACCCCCTTTGCCAATATGTATGATGTATGATGTATGATGTATGATGTGTAGAAAAGAGCATAGACATTCATGAGAAACTGATTGTTTTGTTGACCAACCAAAGTGTTAGTGACATTTCGATAGCAAAGATTGTGTGTAGTGATGATCTGTCCAGCATGAATCCAAACACTGTGATCCCAGCTCTGTTGTTCTCAAAATACGTTACTGAAAAAAAAAATCAATCTTCAAAAGTAAATACGCTACTATGTGTACAGAAATGAACTTATTCTGCTGTTATGGTAAAAATATATAATAAATTTACAAGTTTCACATTACATATTACTATCGCAGGTAAAAGAATGTAACTATGGTTAAAGAAATGTAATTAATTGCATTGGTGGTATTAAGGGAAGAAATTGTAATTACACTGCTATTATGTGAAAAATATTAATTACATTTTACAACTTTTTGCTATTGTCAGTAAAAAAAATGCAAGTATGTTGATATTATGGGTAAAGAAATGTAATTAAATAATACTATTATGGGTAAGAAATTGTAAGTATGTTACTATTGTGTGTACAGAATTGTAAGCATGTTGCTATTATGGGTAAAAAAATAGTGTTAATTTCACAAAGACCTTATATATTGGGGTTTTTTTGGGATTAAACCTTAAACTTTTTTTTTTCAAAAAACCCATACATATATATATTTCGATTTGACCCTTACATTTTTCCATTTTTTCGGATTAAACCTCATCTTTACTATTTTTCTAAAGAAAACCCTTACATTCTTGTGTAAAACCGGAAGATTACAGATAAACCTGCTAAAAGGGTCAAATCAGAAAAAATGAAAAAACAAGTAAGGGTTTTTTAGAAAAAATGAGATTGTTCAAGTGGCAAAAACAAGTTCCAAAATACAGAATAGAAATACAAGTCTGACCTAAGGCCTGTCTCTTTTGGTATGTGATTGTGTCCCTATAAACCGGAACCAATTTTGTATTGTCCAATTCATCTTCATCTCCTTCATCCAAGTCTGAATCTTCAGGGGCAAAATGGTAATTCGCCCTATCGGAACTGTTAGCCATGGGAGTCTCTTCGGTGAGACCCACATCATCAAACGAGTCAATGGTGGCACACGTGTGCCATTTGGCTGCTAAACTTGTCACAGATTGAGCTTTATGTGTGATCTTTGCAGCACTGCGTAGGCATATGAATAAACCACTCACAAGTGTCACAGAACACAGCTGAAAAACAATCAATTTTGTAAATTTCAGGTTAATTGATATAATAAATTCATAGAAAATCTGAAGAAAAAAAAAAGAGTTATAAAAATTATTATTTACCGCAAGTTCACCAGCAGTAGAAAGATTGACAAGTGACCCGGTCTCGAGAGTAACAAGCAACGAAGCAAATTGACTGACAGTCACCAAAATCAAAGTTGACAAAATGAAAGCGCGAAATCTATGACTTATGATTTTAAGAGTTCTTCTAATAGCAAGATGCTCCAACAAAATCGATCCCACATCCGCTTGTTTCTCAAACACTTTTGCAAAATCCTCCAACCGAAGGATTTGTAAAGAGCATGTGAGTTTGAAAAGAACGCATACAAGAAAGAAAAGGGATGTCCGGTATAACCAAGAACATAAAAGAAGAATGCAAGCGATTGTGTGGCTTAAGTAGATGTTGTAAATGTAGGGGATTTGGTTTCTACCCGAAATAAACCACCAGATTTTGTATGCACTATCTGCCAGGAAACATGGGATGATGAATGAACATAGGAGCTTTATTGATCTCTGCATGTATAAACATCAACATGTTAGTTTCATTGGAAAAATGTTTGTTTATTATGTCATCCTACTTTCATTTCTTTCTATTATTATTATTATTATTATTATTATTATAAAGGCATTGTACTTTCAATGATTTTATTATTTGAACTTTTCTATCCAATTATAGCAACGAAAATTATTTTGTATTTTAATGACATTACTATAATTTGGTGACTTCTTCAAAGTTCAAAGTACATCACCAAAAGGGGTGTCGACAACTACAATGAGAAGGCATTAGACAAAAGATTGAGAAAGTCCTGGTCCCACCTTTTTTATGACCATTTTTGTCCTATTCACATAAGTCATAAGTCATAGACACAAGCCAAATAATTGTTGTTTTTTGCTAAGAAAAAGTTAGGGGTGAGCGCGGTGCGGTTCGGTGTGGTTATTAGCCAAAACCTCACCACTAACCGCAAATGAGGTTAATCCATTTTCAAAACCGCTTGGTGCGGTTATTTTTGCGGTGCGGTTAGGCGGTTATTTTTGCGGTGCGGTTTTGTTTTTTCTGTGCTGCGGTTATTAACCGCATGGATTTGGTGTGGTTATTTTGTGTGGGTTTTAACCACAGTTTGGAGCTCAACGGCTTTAAGAGTTCAAACATATTACTTGTAATAATAAAAAACCATAAGGTATAAGACAATTAACCTAAATCACAAACAACTAATATCTTAAAAACGTCAAATCAATAGTAATTAACAATAAATATCTTAAAATTGTCTAATTTCACCATTTTTCAAAGTTAAACATCACAAAAAAACCAACACTTTTGTCTTCTAGTATTTTATCAATCTTTCATCCATGAAACTTGTCTTATTTTTAATATTTAATATATTAATAATTAATAAAAAAATTGTATATAATATATGCGGTGCGGGGCGGTTTTTTTTGTGGTTTTTTGAAAACTAATAACCGCACCGCACCGCAAATTTGCGGTTTTTGAAAAACAGAAAACCTCACCATCGGTTTTTATTGCGGTTGCGGTTAATCGGTTGCGGTTTATGCGGTTTTTGCGGTTAATTTTAGGTGCGGTGCAGTTTTTGCTCACCCCTAGAAAAAGTTGTATTTTATATATACATCACATGGATATCAACTGACTGCTGGGTTGTTATTATTATTTAATAATTATTGATACTAAAATTATCTATATTAACTCATTTATTCATGAATTGATCAATTGGGGATATGAATTATCGCGTCAGACATAGTTTTGATTAAAAAAAATAGATTTTCGTTTTAACATATTTCATATAAAACTTAAATTTTTTGGACAGGATGTGTGATGTGTCCAAGACAAATTGCACCAAAAAAATACTAGTATTTTTACCTACCCGTTGACTTTTTGTAACAAACAATCAAATCTATCCACAGCATAATCAATTTTTGTGTATGATATTTTCTAGAACTTCAAATCTATCTTGGAGTAAATTTTCACAAAATATTACCCCAACTTCCATGAAACGTTATATGATATGATACGACATGAAACAATTTAAAACAAGACAAAAAGGTTATAAGGTAATGAAATTTTATCTAATTGTGTTGAGCCCATAACTAAAGATCTCATCAACCTGCCAATTTCATTAATTTGATGATAGTGTTTTCTCCCTATGCCCAGAAATTAAAATACTTCCTAGGAATTTAAAATGTGAACAAAGCCTAAGTGAAATAGATAAGTTAATTGTAGATCAAATTCCATGTAATATCCTTTTTTTTTTGCGAAAAAGGATACCTAAATTCAAATCTCACAAATTACTACCTAAATTTGTTCCCAAACAAATTCAAGTTCGTCAAGCTATTAAAAAAAAATCCATTGAAATTGTGAACCAAAATTCAAATATCACAAATTACTACCTAATTTTATCATTGGAACGATTGTAATGAATAATAACAAGGCGTTATCGATTACTTCCAAAATAATCGAATTTAGCATAACGATTGTAATGATTAACTAAAACGATCTAGTTTAGAGTTTATAAAAGAGGGATTAGGGAACGCACATGAAGTTGCTCGGAGTATCCATCACGGACTTTAGCACTAACATCAGACAACTTATCAAGGAACAGGAATCGCCGGAGACCGTATTTCCGAGCAAACGACGACAAGTTAATGAACGAAAGAGTGGAGCAGATGGATAGCGACAGCTGGACGATCATATCGAACGGTCTTTGGTGGCTGTCGTCACATGTGGAGCATTGATACACGATATGTGAGAGCATCGGAAGACCCACGGTGAAGATGAAGAAGATCAACCATGAAAGAGCAGCTTTCCAAGGGTTAGATTGATCGATGAAAATCCATGAAAAACTTTTAGATTCAAGAGCATCAATGATCCGGTAGTTTGACTTTGACTTTGGCTTGTGACTGCTGATCGTCACTAGCGTCTCTTGCTCTTCCTCCATTGATGAATCTTGTGATTTGTCGACAGAAGGCGAGAGATATGGACGCCAATTATACACCTGTTTTGGCCAAGTTCCAGAAACCACCCTCAAAGTTTACTCGTCTTTCAGATATTTTATGTTTAAGTTGAGAAAATGGCACCTACACCCTCCGTTTTTGGCTTAGGTGTATGGAATATGAATGTAAAATTCCTTAAATTTGTATATTTTTAGTGGTTTATCTTTATCCTAACAATAATTTTTCTAAGCCATTTGTCTTCCTTGCAAAGATTTTTAAATATGTATTTTGTTTTGCACTACATTCTTTTATTTTTGTAATGCTAAGTGTGCATCCATTTTTTTAAGTAGTTGCTAAAAGTTATTGTCCTAAGAGCATTCATAATGCAAGTAGTATAAGAGTTGAATATGATGATGACTAAGATTGAATAAGAGTTGAATGGAGTGTGGGTGATGACATGAAATAGAGTTGAATGGAGGAGTTGAATGATCATTGAATGATCCAATAGAAGAAATAAAATGTTGATTAGGATTGAAGAGGTGTTTAAAGGGTTGTGGCTGGTGTTGTATAGATGTTTAATGGATGATGTAACAATCCATTAAACTCTATAGAGTTCAATGGATTGTGGATGCCCTAAGAGTTATTGAAAAAAAAAGACGATACAACTATTTTTGCTTTTTTATTTCACAATCAAACATTGAGGTTGTTCGAATTAAGGTCGTTGTCTTCGTTGTTAAGTTCGAGAATGTAACGTGTGTCCGACATTTGTGTGTGATCGTTGGACTCAAATGTCTTTGGCCTTTTAGCGCCTCCTATTTCGGCCGACATCTGTGTCTACTTTGTGCAATGACATAGTATATACCAACCTTTGTTGTTTTTAAAGGACTTCCAGACACTTTCAATTTTCAATCTGATACTTCCTGAAAGTTATTTCTAAAACATCCATGTTATTGGCACTACTTTTTGTGTGCCACTAAGTTGAAGTAAATATTGTTGAACTAGTCAATCTTCTATTTCAAATCACGGAACTTTGAAGATACTTGATCAATAGTTTGGTATTCTCGACCCAATACGTTGTGGAATTGGGTCGTGTTGCATCTCAAAAAGCACCCACTTTTTGTGTGTGTTCTCAGCTTCACTATCCTAAGAAATGATGACCCAAGCATGAAACAATTCGCATTCCTCCTTTGGACTCCGGTATTATTTGTTGGTATTTTTAGAGCTCTTACCTCGTCCTTATGGTTCATGTTGTGTTTTGGGGACCGATTCAGATTGGAAATAATGCATAATGGGTGGAGTTTGTAAAGGTTGTTATTTAGGGATGAAATTGTTTGGGTGAATTGTGTAAGTTATTAAAACTAACTTTAGGTAAAGGGGTGAGATTTAAATCATAGTGGTAATATCAAATCTTGGATTTATTGAACTTGTCAGACGATTTCTTTTTTATGGTGGGGTGCTATAATTTGGTTCCATTTGTGAGAAATTAGTAGGGTTTAAGAGAGATTAAAGAGAGGAAAGTTGGGTTTTTTTTGTAAAATGGAAATGGTATAAAGGTGGTAATTATATAGTTTATTTTAACTTGAGAAAATGACACCTGCACCCTCTAGATTTTGGCTTAGGGTGTATGGAATATAAAAGTAAAAAATGGCATAAAAGCCGATAAAGTTATATACTTTTAGTCATTTTACCTTAGCATCAATTTTTAGTGTTAGAACTCTAAAGTTGAAGGGTTTTGAAAAAGCGTTTATTACCACTCACTCAACATATAACCTTATACCAACATGTATGTCAATGCGGCCCTTAACGCTCCAACACCCCGTTATCCAAATGTTTTCTTTACTGTTTCACCTTGAGTAGGTAAACCCATCAAGAAATGTCAAACTTTTGTTATATGGGTCACACATAATCTCTTAGGTATTGGAGTTTGCTCATTGGAAAAAAAAAGTTTAACAAGGAAATGGAGGCATTCAACAGTTCATAATCATCTTGAATTTGAAATCGAAGGTTATTTGAAGAGAGAAAGAGCATGGTAAGAAAAATGAGTTATATAGTAAGTGTATTTCATGGAATTTTGGTGTAACGAAGTTTAGATTTCTTCAATTTTGGAAGAGATGTAATAAGTTTTGCTAATTTTGTAGGTTTTAGTTATGTCTTATCTGATGACAAATTCAATGACATATTTTATGGGTTAAATGAACCAAATGATCAGATATATTAATTATACATAGAGTAACATGAAATATACATGGATCACTCGTTGGAAGAAGAAGTCTTTACCAGTCTTAGCAAATGTAAGGATACGTTTTAAAATATTTTATTGATTATGAAAATTAACGCAAAGCATCTTTAAATTTAAATGTGGGTCATGATATTACAACACAAGTACATAATCATATTTATTGCTAAAGTGAAAATGATATTCAAAAGTATGACAATGTTACGTATTGAGTTCATAATCTTACAACCAGATGGTCCGCTAAATTTTGTTGTGACCTCATAAAATCCACAGAAATCACAACATTCGTGATTAAATTCCTAGTCATGTTGCGTCTAACACCCAAGTGTCTAGACTTTTCATTATACACTTAGCTATAAGTATTAGCCAAAGTCGCAACGCTGTCACTATGAATAGATATGCGTGCAATCGACTTTTTCCAAATGGACCACTTATATTCACATATAAATATTACATATTCCCTTATGCGTTGGTATGACAGAGCTTTTTATGGCAAAATAAATGATTGACTTAGAAATCTTAACCTTTTTTTCTCATTTGAACTTTTATATATATATATATATATATATATATATATATATATATATATATTATATATAGGGTCAGGTTCCGGTAAGAACTCTCTTTTCGGTGAGGACTCGTGAGGACACCTTAAAAAAAATGAAAAAAAATACAAATCATAAAATCGAGCATAGTACTATATCCGAAAGAAAAAAAATTGAATTTTTTTTTTGCATCATTAAAATTGAATCATGGATCATAAAAATGATCTATGCTTCAATTTTAACGATCCAGCTTTTTTTCTCTCCGAGGTAGTACTATGCTCGATTTTATGATTTGTATTTTTTTTAGATTTTTTTTCAATTTTTTTAAGGTGTCATCACGAATCTCCACTTTAAAAAGAGTCCTCACTCGATACTGTTTATATATATATATATATATATATATATATATATATATATATATATATATATATATATATAAACAATATCGACTGATGACTCTTTTTCAAGTGGAGATTCGTGATATATATCTTTATACCTTAATAAACATTTAGCATGTTTTGTTGAATTTTAAGAGGTACACCCCTTAAAGCAACATTTACAACAAAGTAATGCATTCCTGAAATCATAATCTTATCCAGTCAACTTACTTTTAAATCTTAAATCTCGAGGATGGATCTTGACCAGATCCTTAATCCATATTATGTACAACAACCTTCCCACTATGTAGCCTTTTCTTTCTTGTATTGACCTGGCCTTCGTTATCTTCCCAAATTTATATGTTATCAAAGACTTCAATGCCATAAATTGAATCGAGGAGTTTCCTTTCTCAATTTCACAAGTTGAAATCTACACAAAAAGCTTAATTGATTTCTATCCCAGCCGCTCCAGAGTTGCATTGTTTCTTCCGATAAACATCTATCACCCATTTTCTAATGCTTTGATTTCTATTAGTAAGTGTCACTGTTTTCTCTTTCTCTCTATTCGCGTTTTCTGAATGTGTGTTTTTCACAAGCAAACTATCGAAGACTTCTTATTTGTTTCAAGGTTTATTGGAAAAAGGATGGCCCTTGCTGCTATTGGCATGTATTTACTCACCACTTCTTCTTATAATTATTTTTTCAATGGTTTTGTGTTGCTTCGATTTGTTGGTAGGTTCAGTTTGTTGCTTCCATTTATTGCTACGATTTGATGAAGCTTCGCCATCAAAACTCACCATCACCACCACCATATTTGTATTTCTCTCCTCCATGCTCTCTCTATCTCTCACTCTCTCTCATTGCTTGATGTGTGCTTCTTTGATTCCATGTTGGTTTGATGGGTCATATTAACAAAAGGTTTATGGTTTACTGCAGGTTCAAGATGATGCCTTCTCTTCGCCACTAGAAATGCTTTCCCCTGAATCGATGGCTATTTCCTAAGGTACAAGTGAAATAATATCATTTTTATATTCAGCAACACCTCCCTCACGACCTACCTTGCTTTTCTTATTGGTTTCTTGAACTTCGCCCTTATTGATTGAGCCTTTCATTACGCGTACAAGAGACAAATGTTCTCTATTTTTTTAGCTTCTCGAGCTGTCGATATCATGAGCCCCACTTTTAGGTCAAAATAAGTTGAAAATGTTTGTCTGTATAACCATGATATTTGGTATTTTTTAAATTAGGATTTAAAGGCTACCTTTGATGTTGATCATATATTCATAGATTTTGGCCTACCATGTGCTCGATGAAATGTTTAAAATAAATAGTTCATGATTAAACTTGATGGGTTCTAATTTTTTTTAGATGGTGTCTGATGCAAGAAAAAAGAAGGAAAATGGCGCTCCAGAAGTACGATTGTAAGTAAAGTTTTTATTTTCTATTTTGGAGTGTATGAATGACCGGTCCTTAAAAAAAGCAGGAATTTGAATGGAATAAAGTGCTATGAATGTATATAACAAGAATGACAACTAAGGCACTATGTATCTTATATGATTAATTAGCCTTTACTTTCTGGTCTCGGTACTACAAAATCGCAGGTTTAGTTATTCACAAGATAGAAGTAAGCTAAATGGATGGGTAGCAAATTTTGGTTATTGATTCTATGAGTTAATTATTGTAAGGATATTAGCAAATTGTGTTTATTTTTCCCATTTATTTGCAAGTGTGGGACTCGATTTGGAACCTTTTTCATTGTAGCTTGGAGAATTTGATATGGCTATTTGTTAGTATGTTTGATTATTATAAAAGTAAATATACATTAGACAGAAGACAGTTAGCTATGTCAAGAGGAAGAATTTGTGAAGCTCTTATTGAGAAGAGCTTCACATTGAATCATATCTCTTTTTTTATCATTCCAGGGCATTCATTCATCAATTAAAGGGGTAGTATGGGAATTTTTGTTGGGGTGTTATAATCCCAACAGTACCTCTGAGGAACGAGGAGCCCTCAGGGCAAACAGGAGGTAGTCTCTTCACATAACAGGTAGAGTACATTAATTACATAGGCCATTTATCTCTAATCATTTCTATATTTTACTCTTCTGATAATCAAATAGTAGACTCACATTTTAGTAAAACTGCTATTTTTGTTTTTAGGGAACGATATGCTTCATGGAAAGAGGAATGTAAAAAGATGGCACCCATTGTTGGTAGTGGGAAGTTTGTGATGTCACTTATAATCAATGATGATGGAAAACCAAGAGAATACAATAGAATGGAATTGGCAGATTCTGATGCCGATTCCGACAAGAAAGTGACTCAGTGGAAACAGAGCTTTCATCAGATAGGTTTGGATGTAGCACGCACAGATCGTTCTCTTGTTTATTATGAGAATGAAGCTAATCAAGCCAAGTTATGGGATGTTCTTGCTATATATACTTGGGTAGATGATGATATTGGTTATGTTCAAGGTGACAAACACTTTACCCTTCTATCTCAACAACTGTAGGACATAAAGCTCATGTGATTTTTTATTTTAAACAGGAATGAATGATATATGTTCCCCAATGGTTATTCTTTTGGAAGAAGAAGCAGATGCATTTTGGTGCTTTGAGCATGCGATACGTAGAGTGGTGTGTATGCCTTTATTTTATATTTTCTTTATGTAGAATGATTAATCTCTGGTTTCCTTTATAAAGAGAGAAAATTTCAGGTCTAATGCAACTTCTATGGGAGTGCAATCACAACTTAGCATACTTTCACAAGTTATGAGAGTTGTTGACCCAAAGCTTCATCAACACCTTGGTAAGTACTACCAAGTTTCAACTTTTATCTGCTATTTATGGTAAAATCTTTTTTAAGTTTTAAATAAATCGACAACACTTTTTTATTTAATTTACTTAAATCAGAAGGGTTGAATGGTGGAGAATATTTTTTTGCAATTCGTATGCTAATGGTGCTTTTCAGAAGGGAATTTTCCTTTGTAGATGCGTTATATCTATGGGAGGTAAAAAAAAGACCTATATTAGTATTATTATTACTCATTTATTTTTTGTATGAAGTTGGAAAGATGAAAGATGATGTTTTTTTTAAAATGTGAAATCAGGTTATGTGGGCCATGGAGTATAATCCAAACATGTTTGTGCATTATGCTTCAAATGGTTCGAATGAAGTTGTTGTAACAACAAAATTAAGCAAGAAAATGTTGCAACAGTATGAGAGAAAAAACATGAAGAATGGACGCACATATCAAAAAGTCTTCTTGTTGTTTTCTTGGTTGCAGGTGTTCTAGAAACCAAAAATAAGAAACTCTTGAATGAGGCTAAGGGCCTAGATGATGTTGCCCAGGTTCGCTATAAATCATACAACTATTTGTTAGAATTTTGTGCCAAATAAAAAAATAAAAGTATATTATTGCCCATATTGGTTGAAATTTGGCCTAGAATTTAAGACCATTTATGATTTTTATGATTCCAGATCATGGGTGATACAACGGGAAGCTTGGATGCTAAAAAAGCTTTGTCAGAAGCATTGAAAATTCAAAAAAAAGTATCTAAACAAGGCAAGCATCACATCCTTACATACACATTATACACATATGCACTTTCGGTTTATATATTATGATTCTAATGTTGGACTAATTATGGTTTCAGGCTAGAATTCCTAAATGTTAAAGAGTTTCAAGGCAGCTAAGATAGGTCACGAATTTAATTTTTTTTATTTGTTGTGTGATTGTATTATATGGGATTTTATAAACGACATCCTGATTGTTCTTAAGGTCTACAAGAAACAATGATTTTGTTTTTTTCCGAATGGTTTTTATGTTAATGAAATAATCATTTTAACAAAAAAAAAGTAACCAACTAGGTATTTTCTGGAAACTGATGTTTTGTTCAATAAGTATATGAAACTATTTTTTTTCACACATTTATTAGTTGTACTTCGAAAGTAAAATGCTATAATAGTGTGTATGGAAAAACATTATAGCATTGTACCTTTCAAGTACAATGGTTTAGTAAGGAAAAATAGAAATATAAATAGAAAACATTTTAGCATTGTGCTGTTAAAGTATGGTTAACTACAAACAATGACATTGTACTTTGAAAGATATTATGAACCATTTGGTTTTGTTTCAATAATGCATTGAAAGGTATTTTTTAAAGTACATTTTTGAAAGATATTATGTACCATAAAAGAGATGAATGCATTAAATGATACATTGTTCGTTGAAAAAAAACCATGAATCGCTAAATTGAAACCAATGTTTAGTGATAATTTCCAATACATTGTATCTTATTTTTAATATAACATGTTTCCTAAAAAAAACTAATTTCTGAGTTGAAACTAATCATTGCTCACACAAAAGAAATTAATTGTCGAAACAAACTATTCGCACCCGTCGCTTGACGCGGGTAAACGGCTAGTATATATATATATATATATATATATATATATATATATTATATATATATATATATATATATATATAACGGTGTGCTCTTAGTTATTTGGTGTGGTTAGACAATATAAAATCATACCGCACCGAAAATTTATCGATTTTGGAAAATTAAAATCGCATCATCGGTTTTGGTGTTGGATTAGGTGTCTAAGCCCATAACTATATTTGGTATGTACTTGACCCGGTTGTAGCATGATCCTTTTGGGTTGCCTTTACCAGAGCAACTTGACTGGATGATTAATGGAGAAAGAGGTTATTAATATATTATATGAATAATATATTAAAAGAGAAATCATATTGGTTAATTAATATTAGTCAAGAATTAATTAAGAAATTAATTTTGTGATAAAAAGATATTAATTGAACCTAGGGGACTGGAATTGCAATTATAAGATAATTTGATTTTGGGCTGAGGATCCCTTAGGAATGGGATGGACGAAATCAAGGAGGGAAGCCCACCTTGAATTCGTCCAAGGCCTTATTCTGGAAGTTTCTTTTGGACTGCTTAAGGCCTAAGCAATCCAATTAGGGTTTTGACTGAAACCCTAGCAGCTCACCTATATAAAGGACCCCAGGGCTTCATAAATCGGCTACCACAACCCTAAGAAGAGTTCAAGAGCCGATTTTAGCCTTCCCCTCTCTCTCTATTATCCTCCAACTTTATTTGGTGTTTGTGATCTATTAGAGGCACACCATTTGAGGTGCTAAGGTTCTCAAAAGCTCAAGATCTTCAAGCAACAATCAAGGTAACCTTCTAACTTGTTTATTAGATGTTATTTTCGTTTTTTTGTATGCTAGAATTAGGGCTACAAGCTTTGGATGATTCACATGTACAATTAGAGAAACCTAGATCCAAAGCTTTAGGGTTTGCATGTGCACCATAGGATTGATGTAATGCTTATAACCCATCAGTGGTATCAGAGCCTAGGCTGTTTTCTATTGTATTTGATGCCTTGTTTGATCATTCATTGCTTACAAAATCGAATTTTCTGCCCTCTGACAGCTGAACTCGTCGAGTCACTAGATGAACTCGACGAGTCAGATGAACTCGGCGAGTCCAGTTAGTGACTTGGCGAGTCGGAGAGTCAGGGAGCAGAACTTTCGGGATTTTGGCCTATTTTTGATTGGGATAATTACCAAAAACGTTTTTGATTAATAAAATTTGATTTTTATTAAATATATATGATTATCCTTATCAAAATAGAAGATAATTGCAAATTAATTAGATAATTATTGCCTTATACGATAATCTTTAATTATTTGAATTATTTGATTGCATTATCTTGCCATGTCAGTGGATTAGGTCAAATTTAGATAATCACTAATTAATTGTTTAATTAAATTATTTTTAATTTGATCTAGAAAGTTTTGAAAAGTTTCAAAACTTGCCCTCAAGTTTTGGAATTTAAATTTTTGATTAAAAGTTTATTTTTGAAATATTTAAATTCTAAACCCTAGAATTTTACAAGTTTAAAATTCAACCCTTATACTATTATAATATTATAAGATTAATAATATATATATATATATATATATATATATATATATATATATGTGTGTGTATGTATGTATGTATAAGATTAAGCTAGTCTTACCGTTAGTAGGCCTCATTCACGAAGTCGATCTATAAGGGGGGTATAAGGTTGCTGCCTATAAAATGACAGTTTAATGGGTGTCCACTCTCACCCACCGCTTCCTTGATTGGTGGAGGGTCGTTAGCCGAACGGGTAGGATAGGGCAACTAATTCCTCATTAAAAGTATAATGTTTAATTAAAGTAACTAAATGTTTTTTATAAAATTCTCAATCTTAGTTACTTTAGGAAAGATGTGAAATGATGCTATTCCATGAAATTACAATTTGCACCCTCCCAAGTCGTTAGTGGAGCGTGCGTGGATAACCGACACACTAATATGGACTAACAATGGTGGCAAAGGGTGACTCGATGTTTATCATAGATCAATGGAGCGTGTGTGGTTAACCGACACATTGGTTAGGTGGTAAATGACATCAAGGGTACCAAATATATTTGCATGGTTATTCACACCTTGTTTGTGATCCTCGGTATCCCAGTCACAAACTTGAAGGGCATATCGAGATTTAAACATGCCATTGAAAAGTTCAATGAATCTCAAAAGATCTAGGAGTTTCAATACATTTAAAACTTAAAACTCTTTTTCGTTTTTCATGGTGGAATTAGTGAATCGTCATTCACTTACCTTCAAATTATTTATAGTTTGGATTACGACATCCATCTTCTAAATTGTAAATAATGTTGTTGGATCCTATCCCTAATTTCTCATTTTGGGTGTTTAATTGGGGATTCTTATCTAATCAAACTTTGTCTCCTTTCTATTTCAGATGGCTACTTCGAACAACAACAACGCTTCAGGCTCGACCCCTTCCGGCTCATTCTCACTCATGAATTTGTCTAGGAGGGTGATCTTTGATGGGTCCAACTTTAATGATTGGATCCGCAATATCCGAATGGTCACCCTCTACGAGGACAAGGAGTATGTTCTCGATAAGGAGCTGAAAGAAGTCAATGTCAACACTGCTACTCCCGAAGAGATCGCTGCCTACGAGGCTCATGAGTGAGATACTACGCAAGTTCATTACATCATGCTCGCGACAATGACCGTCGAACTCCAAAAGTCCTACGAGGACTACTACCCCTACGAGATGCATCAAGATTTGATGGATAGGTACCATCAAAGCACGAGGCAGGAAAGGTACGAGATCATCACTGTGATGATCACTACCAAGATGAAGGATGGAGAGTCCATCACGACCCACCTGTAGAAAATGTAGAGGTATGTGGACCGCTTGCTAAAGTTAAATGTTAACTTCGATGAGGAGCTGGCCATAGATATCATTCTACACTCCTTACCTCCTTGCTACAACTAGTTCCGCATGAGCTACCACATGAACAAGGAGGAGGTCATTCTAAGCAAGCTTCAAGGCCTGCTAAGGACTACTGAGAGTAGTCTAAAAGACAAATCCATTGCATCAAATCCTACTACCGCCCCCGTCTTGGCAATTGGGCAAGGGAAGGGCAAGAAGAGGAAGGCTCCTTCTAAGAGCCACAATGGAAAGTTACACGATGGCACCTCTTCTACTGGAACCAAAGTTGGTCCCGCTGCACCCTCCTCCAACCCGAAGGATGCAAAGTGCTACTACTGCCACGAGAAAGGGCATTGGAAACGAAGTTTCCTGAAGTATCTGCAAGATATCAAGGATGGGAAGATAAAGTCATCCTTCACAGGTATTTATACTATTCATTCTAACAACTCGTCACATGCTATGTCTTGGGTCCTTGATACAGGATGTGATAGATTCTCTCTCAAGTTTCATCCTTGTCCATGATGTGTTGTGACTTCATTTGAGGCTTCCACACTATTGGGGCTAAGCTCTTAAGGCCAAATACATCAAGAATTCAAGCTACATAAAAGGTATGTCACCCTAACTAGTATTTTATATGGTTTATGTCAAATGCATGCTAGTTATAGGTTTATGCCTTGGAAACACCTTTGCATGTATAATTAGTGAAAACATAGATCACTGTTGGATTAGATGTCTAAGCCTATAACTATTATTGGTATGTACTCGACCCGAGAGTAGCATGGTCCATTTGGGTTGCATATCATCAGGACAATTTGTTAGGATGGACTTTTGAGAGAAGGTTATATACATGATTTGTTAATATATTATAAGTTATAATATATTAATATGAAATCATATGTTTTAATTAGTATTGATCAAGAATTAATTTGGAATTAATTTAGTGATCAAAAGAGACTAATTAAATCTATGGGGACTAATTATGGTAATTAG